TAATCCTGACTTCTGCTGGGTTCTTTCTTGGACAGAATCATAGAACTGTTGAGCTCAAAATTGTACAGATTAGATTAGATTAATCCAGAAAGGGGAAATAATTTATGTAAGGCCCTCTTAAAAAAAAAAACCAGTTGCTGTGGGGTCAAGTCCATCTCATGGTGACCCCGTGTGTTTCAGAGTAGACCTGTGTTCTATAGGGTTTTCAGTGACTGAATTTTCAGAATAGGATCACCAGGCCTTTCTTTTGAAGGACTTCTGGGTAGACTGGAAACGCTAACCATTTGGTTAGCAGCTATGTGTTAACTATTTGCACTATCCTGGGCCTACCTAAGCCCAAGCACCTAACAAATAATATTAGATATTACTGGAGCCCTACCTAATGATCTCTATTTACTTCTAAGCCCAACTGTTACTTTGGAAGAACTCATAATTTTGTTGATGTTTTCTAGCTTTATATCACTGTTATTCATAGAAGCAGGACTGTATGTACAGGGAATAGTATATCTAGTGGTTCAGTCATTAGAGTAATATTTACTTCACATTTTGAGAATTTATGTTTTACAAAGCAGGAAATAATCGAATTTACTAAAATTTAAAAGGATATATGATTTATATTCTTTAAGTGTTAAGCTACTTTGAAAATAGCTTAATCATCTTGAATAAAAATGTATCTAAGTGTGTTATTATTAACTAATTCAACCAACCAACCTACCATAAAGCCAGCATTTTTGAAAGTTCACCCTTATGTAAGTGTGAAAATATAGAAAAGTCTGAAGATACAGAAAGAAGGGGGAAAAAAAAAATTAAAGCCCTTGTCCTCAAGGGAATTTGCCAACAACTCAGGGAAGCTGACATGAAACCAAGTATGATACTGTGTATTATCTGCTAGGATAGCACAGGGTCATTTGACTGCTAATCAGAAGGTTGGTGGTTCAAATCCATCAGCTACTCCTCAGAAAGAAGCTGGGGCAATCTACTTCTGTAAAGACTTGCTGCCTCAGAAACCTCAGAATCAACTCAATGTCAGTGAATTTGGTTTTGGTTGTTGAACTGTACGAAACAGAAGGCTCCCCTGAGTAGGTAGCATTAGAACTGAATCTTGAAAGGAGAGGATTAAGGGAAAGAAGCATTAAAAGGGGAGAGTACAGCATGTGCTAGGCAGGCAGATGCAAAAGTGCATGGCAGATTTTGGGAGCAAGTGCTTCTTTATGTCTGCATCCCAGGGTTCAGTGAGGCCAAGGGCAGGCAGGGACCAGATCATAAAGAGCTTTGCACATCAGACTGTAAAGTTTGTTTTTTACCCATAAAGTATAATGAAAAAGTGCTGAAAGGCTATATGCTTTAAAAGTTTATATGCTTTAAAACTATGTGACTCAAACTATACTACAGTATAAAGGTTCTTTTTTTTTTATCCCCCTGCTCCTTAATATTGGACATCTTGGTCAAACATCTGGTTGAGAGTAGAAAGTGAGAAAATCACTGGAATCTAATTCCAATTGTAGACTAACAAAAATCTCATTTCTTCATCTGTGAAGTAGAGATCATATACTTCTTCTACAGGAGTTAATATTAAGCGTTTATTACAGTATCTGGCATATTGTAAATACTCAGTAAACATAAGCTAGCATAATCTTCACCATGATCATCATCATTGTAAAATACTGAGCTGTAGAAATGGGTTAGAATGTGAAGGTTAATTTGAACATCTAGATTAAGAGCAGTTTTCTGGTTCTGTGTAAAGTAATCGAGTCTCTCCAGAGAGAACTATTTTGTCATGGCTAAGAAAAGGCATTAGTTAGCAAAACACATTGATTATGTACTTGAGAATCTTCTTAATTTGGTTGTCCAAGAGAATACAAGAAGAGAAAATTGGGGTTGATAGCAGTTTCTGAGACGGGTTGTATATTTAATTTATTGATTAAAGGTGGAAGAGGAGATATTAAAGTCTGTAGATAGAAATTAGGCATAAAAATTAACTTTTTTTTCTTGCTACTTTCTGTTAACTGGCAGATGCTCAGAAAGAGAAACAACATGCTTTTGATATCAGATTGTAACTAATTATTCTATTACAATTCTATTATAATTATAATTATAATTCTATTAGCATAGTGGCTAAGTCACTTGCCTGCTAACCAGACGGCTGGCGGTTCAAACCCACCAGCCACTCCTCGGAAGGAAGGTTGGGCAATCCTACTTCCGTAGTGATACTGCCTCGAAAACCCAAGGAGGGGTCGCTATGAGTCGGGGCCGACTCGACGGCACATAACAACAACAACAACATTATTATTCTAGTGGCTGTAGTGGTTTTTTTTTTTTTTGGTTTATATTTGTAATTGGAGTATTTTCTATAGTTGTGCCCATTTGAAATCTAGTTTAAACAGTTACAATTTGATTTTATTAAAAATTTGGCAGGTCAAAATCAGAATTACTATCTACACAATGCCATCTCTCTCTAAAAAAAAAGTAGAGTATATTTCAGTATTCTATAGAATAATATGTTCACCTTCTCTGTTCAATTTTGTTAGTGCTCCTATATCCCTCCCTGTGAGAGAGAAAATCAGAAGAACTTGGAAAGTGTCATGATTTGGCAACAGTACTGGAAAGAAGAGATTGGTTCCCAGCCATTTACTTGCTATTTTAATCAATATCAAAGGTAAGTCATTGTTTGCATGTGCATATTAAAATTCTTTATATCCTGTACAATTTATTACATGGATAAATCACAGATTGTGCCCACTTTACAAAAATAGCAATATGGAGCTAGTCTGAACCCTTTCTTGTATGTAGTTAGCAATGTCCCTACTTGCTCTAAGGATGAGGAAGCATACAAAGTATCTGCAGAACAAGAGAAAAAGAAAAAAGATCATCTGGACTGCATCAGGCCTTATCTTTCCTTTCTATTTTGATGATGTAGCAATGAAATGATATGCCATTAAAATTTTATTTGACTTAGAGAACACTGAAGTTACTGGGAGTCCCTGGGAGGTACCGTGGTTAAGCTTTCAACTGCAAAGAAAGGTTGACTGTTCAAACCCACCCAGAGGCAGCTTGGAAGAAAGGCTCGGTGATCTGCTCCCTAAGAGTCTCAGCCATGAAAGCCCTATTTAGGTCAGTTGTGCTCTGAAACACAAGGGTTGCCATGAGTTGGAGCAGCTATGCCATATAACAAGATTTCCTTGGACTAGAACATTTCAGTACCCACCCAGATTAATCATAGTAATTTATGCATCCAACATTTATTAAGTATTTACAGTTCTTTGCTGTACATCACATGATGTACATTTAACTTGCATGTTCTACAGATACCTTAAACCTCTTCCTCCCACATTTCCTAACTCTTAGTGAATGGCACTATTGTCTACTCATTTACCCAATTCACAGACCTTTGTGTAACTCTTAATTCATTTTTCTCCTTTACATTTGATAGCCTAAATTTACCATCATGCTGATTTTATCTCTAAATGACTCTTGAATTCATTCATTTCTCTGCCTCCTTGCTTCTCATTACTTAGCTCAGATTCACATTATTTCTAAGCTATATTAATGCAATAGGTTTTTTTTTTTTTTTTTTTTTTTTTTTTTAATATTGCTTTAGGTCCAAGTTTACAGAGCAGTTTGTTTTACATTCACCATTATGTGCACATTTAGTTTCACTCCCCATTTACCATCCCCAACCCTCACCCAGTCTCTTCCCCTCTCTGCCCAGTAACCCTCCCCGCTGTGCCCCTCATAGTTATGCACTCCTGTGTGTCCCTGCATTTCCTCCGTGCGAATGTTTCCCCTCTGGTGCCCTGTGGTCGATTGCTCCAAGGGATGCATTTCCATAGAGTATGTGGGTACATCACCCTGGGATGAGTGGTCTACGTGTACATCTTGTTTACTCTTGGGCTGCAAGCCAGCCCCTGGGAGTGAGTTTTACTCCAGGCGCAGAATGTTTTCCAGGGCCATAGTATTGGGGGTCTCACCAGACTCCATCTGACTAGTAGTTCTGGTCATTATTGAGTTTTTGGATTTTGTTCCACATTTTCCTCCCGCTCTATCCAGGATCTCCAGATTTGATCCTTTCCTGAGTGGTTGGCATTGGTAGCTGGGCACCATCTTGTTCTGGTCTCGAGAGCCATCATGTCCTAGGGCTGATTGCTTCTAAATGTCCTTGGTTTTTTATTTTGCACTCTTCTTCACTTCTGACACTAGGAGACCATTAGGTGCATCTTAGATGGCCGCTTGAAAGCTTTTAAGACTTCAGTCGCTACTCACCAATGTAGGATGAGGAACAAGACTTTTATGTATTTTGTTGTGCCAACTGAGTCTGGTGTCCCCCAGTACTATGGTCCTGAGTTGGTAGATCCATTGGATCTCTCTCCCACAGTGTCTGGGTGTCTATGAGGGATTACTCTATGTCTGTCTTCTGTTGTTTCTGTTAAGGATTTAATGCAATAGTTTTGTAATAATTCCTCCCATCTCCACCTTGCCCCAACTCCAAGCCATTATCCAAGGTGCTACCAAAGTAATCTTTGAATGTAGTCAAATTACTCCTGATAGCTTTCAGAATAAAGCCCAAAACAAACTTCTTGGCCTCTGTATCCTTACCTATTGCTGCATAGCAAATCACCCCAAATCTAGTGGCTTACTACAATGATGATTTATGATTTTTTATGAATCTATGGGTTGACTGAGACGTTCTGCTGCTGGTCTCTCCTGGACTCATGTGCAGTTAGACAGTGGCTAGAATAACTGTATTATCCAAGATGGCCTCTCTCAAATGTCTGGCAGTTGGTGCTGGCTATTGGCTGTGGTGTCTTAGTTCTCTCATCCTCCAGTAGGCTTATAAAATGGTAGCCTTGGGGCAACATTTCAAGAGAGTCAAGCTTTGGCTCTGGAACTCATATAAAATTGCTTCTTACACATTGTCTTGGTCAAAGCAAGTCACAAAACCAGCTAGATGCTGCAAAGGATTTGTGGCCACATTTAGTCTATCACAGCATACTAGGTTCCTCAAGATCATGCCTTAGACTGCCACCTCTCCAGCCTCATCTCATACTTCTGGTAATAGCCATACTAAATGATGTGCAGTTCCCAGAATGCCCTATACTTTTATATCCATACCTTTTTATTTGCTTCTCTTGCTTCATGAATGCCTTGCTGGAGATTCTCCTCAGATGTCACCTCTTCTAGGATGCTTTTCTTGATCATCAAGGTAGGTTTAGTTGTGTATCAGGGTACCATCTGCTGCAGGTAAATAGAAAACTCTGGCTTAAAGTAACAAACAGTTATTATCCATACATCAAGAAATGCACAGGTGGATCTGACATCATGGTTGTTCAAAGCAATGGCTTAACAGTGTCATCAAGAACTCAGGTGCTAAATATTGTATGAGACCACTATTATAAAGAGTTGAGAATAGGTTTACCAAAGGAAGAAACATTCTTTGATGGCTACCATGGAGGAGAAGGAAAAAGGGGTTGATGGTAGACAAGAGTTCATTCTGGTGAAGGGAAAAGCAATACATAATATGGGGAAGTCAGCACACTGTGACCAGAATAAAGGAAGACATTGAGAGATATGCAAGAATAAAGGACAACTTCAGTACATGCAATAACATATACAGGCCTGCAACAGTAGTAGTGACTAGCAATGATTTGTGAGTAGATACATAGGTAGACATATATATATATATAAAAGGTGAGGGAGGTCATGCGGGGAGTACACCTGCATAAGTAAGTATATTGATAAGGTGGTAGATATTTCTACATACATATCTGTAAATGCTACACATATATTCATATATATAACAGAGCATATAGGGGGCACAGTTATAGAAACTACTTAGAAATGAGGACTGAACCACTGGGGACCATAGCCTCAGGGTCATCTAGGTCAATTGGCAAAGCACAGGTTATAAAGATAATGTTCTATAGCCTAGTCTGGTGAATAGCATCTCAGGTCTTAAAAGCTTGTGAGCAGCCATCTAAGAAGCAACTATTGGTCTCTTCCTACCTGGAGCATGGGAGAATGAAGAAAAATGAAAACTCAAGGAAGCAATTAATTTGAAGGACTAATAGCCCACTTGAAACATAGCCTCTAACCTGAGATCAGAAGAACCAGATGGTGTCCAGCTACTACTACCAACCACATTGACCAAGATCACAATAGAGGGTCCAAGTTAGAATGGGTTAAAAAAAAAATGTAGGGCAAAATTCGACAAAAAAAAAAAAAAAAGATTAACTGGTCAGAAAGAGACTAGAGGAACCCCTGGGACCAT